ATTATTCTTATTGCCACATTGCCAGACAGGACACCGTTTAAAAAAAAAAGAAGGTAAAAAGCTACAAGAATGTCTTTTTAGAATTGTGCAATTACTATAGAGCTTAGATTCCACATTATGAAAAAGAAACTCAGCTTTTAAGTTTTTTTATGACACATTAATAGCTATGTCAGAGAAGCAGACAGCAATTCACTAAGCTGAATGTAGAACTTGTCTCAGCAACTGTCTTAGCTTTGTAAACTTATCAAAAACCGTGCATCCAAACAGTTGGCGGTTAAGAAAGTTATATGACCTCTGTGTTGTTACATTCTCATGGTGATACACTCATACCTGTAGTGACTTACTTTTAAGGGTTAAAGAGGACCCGTGTAAACAACAGTTCCCCCATATTCTTATTTTTTTTGTCTTTATTATATTGTGTAGTTGGATGTGTGTATATAAAGAGAAAACTGTAACTTGAGCGTGCAACAAAATTAATTTCCCTCTGGGATTATTAAACTATTTCTGATTCTGATTCTGATTAAAACCAGCAGCTATTTTGATCCATGAAATTATCAGTAGTAACACACACACACATGTGTGTAACTACTACTGCTTTTAAAATTCTTGCATGTCTGACATGTTGTGAATACAATTCACAAGCAAATCAGAAAACTAAGTGAGGACAGGCACCAAGAGGTACAGCCCCATTTGAAGTAATTAGCATGGACTATATTGGGCTGACCCCAAGTGGACAATACAAGAACTGCCTAGTCCTAGTGAATCATTTTTCTAAATGGGTAGAAATTGTTCCCACAAAACATGCCAATGCACTGACAGTAGCAAAAGTTTTGTGTAAACATATCATAGCTGAGCATGGTATCCAAAAAAAAAATCTTACAAAGTGATAATGGAACACATTTTGTGAATGAAGTGGTATCACTGATGTCCAAACATTTAAACATAACTTTGAAACATCACTGTTCCTACCATCCACAGAGTGCAGGATTAGTGGAGAGAATTGCAAAATAGATTGAGAAAATTCATGGCAGAAACAGGAAAACCATGACCAGAGTGTTTGCAATTGGTAAAATTACTCATGACGATTATTCCAACATCTGATGGTTTGTCCTCTTTTGAAATAGTGAATGGGAGACCTTTTGTTCTACCTTTATGGGAAGAACAGCCATGGGCTGAAAAAGAAAAAGAACATTGACCCATTAACTAAGTGAATTCTGAAACTGTTCAAATACGGAACTGTTCAAAGAACATGTAATCTGCCCAGAGCTCCTTTTGTTTCCCCACAGGAAGGCCTGAAGCCTGGACACCGAGTGCTGATTAAAATCATCAAAAGGAAGAATTGGGAAGCTCCGAGGTGGGAAGGACCCTACATAGTGCAACTAACAACCCCCACCGCTGTGAAGATCCAAGACAGAAAAACTTGAATCCACCAGAGTCATTGTAAGCTGATTAAAAAAATTTCCTTAGCAAAAAGCCCAGTTACTTTCACAGGGACCCCACAACTAAGGTAAAGATCTGTGGTGAAGCCCAGCTTCAAATGGGTTTGGTTTTTTAGGACCACTCGTCTCAACACTGGTGAAGAAACCAACCTAACCCAGTCTTTTAGAGTCCAGTTAGTGGGTGTTTCCTTGGAAGGACTGATGAAGAACCAAAGTGGTTATGCTGCCCGGTGATAACCATTGGACTGGTGTTACTAGGGACTCAAACTGACTGTCTGAAACAAAGGAGGAACAGAATGGTCTTTGATGGATCCACAGCAAGTCATCCCTATGGCGCCAATATGTGGTGGCAGCATGCCAAGCGCTTGCTGAAGGTTTGAACAAGGTTTGTACTCATATAGACCGCTCTAGATGAGTTGAAAGATCTGAAGAGGTATGTTGACCATCACACCTCCAGTGCAAGTTCAGCACCATGGACAAGTTGGTTCACCATGGGATCATGGTGGCAGGTGCTGATGAAGATAACTTTACCGTTTGTAGGATTAATCCTCATATCTTTTCTTTTTATTTGTTGCTTAGTGCCAAGCCTCCAGTCAATGATTCAGAAAATGATAGGATCCACTCTAATCCAGTATTCAGCTGTTACTTATGTTCAACT